TCCCTCCCTCCTAGCTGCCACTGTCCTGGCAGGCTTCAGGCGTCAGTCACCCTGTTGGTGACTTTGCACACAGAGGTAGAGGCAGCACTGACAGCAGCAGCCAGCACAGCAAAGCCTGTGTCAGTGAGTCACGGCAGCACCGGCATCTGCAGCCCAGCTGCTCAGGCCAACCACAGCAGACCAAGGCCAGCCTAGACATGGTCACCTCTGCTTTGGGGTCAGTGCTCTAGGAGTGTTCCGTCTCTGGCCCTCAGACAGCACTTCTTCCTCCACCCACCCCCACTGGTAACAAGAGCTCCTTCTACTGAGAATGTGCTCTGAGGAGGGGGACAAGAAGGAGGTGGTAGATGTGTTTCTAGACATGCTAGTGACCCTGGGAACAAAGGCACCCTGGCCTCAGGTGAGGAACACCGCCTGAATCGTCTATGTATGATTGGTTTTGTTTGTTTAAGGCAGGGTCTCACTGTGTCTGGCTGCACTATGTTCCGCTGGCCTTGGGCTCACAGACCTGAGTGCTGAGGCCTGTGCCGTCACCCTGGCTATGGAGTCACCTTTTCTGGTGCATGGAAACATGTGGAGGGCACAGGACAACCTGCAGGAGTTAGTTCTCTGTATGCCATGGGGTTCAGGGATTGAACTCAGAGTGTCAGGCTTAGCAGAAGCTTTTACCCAGAGTCCTCTTGGCCCTTATTTTGTAATTCTTATTTAATTTTTCCCAGTCCACTGTTAGAAGGCCTGACAATTTCTTGTTCTCTCTTAATACTTAATGTTACGTCTCTTCATATTGAAGCTGAGCCCTCTTGCTCTTGTCTTTCCCCAGGCCCTGTCTCAGCGGGACCCTCCTCACAACAACTTCTTCTTTTTCGATGGCATGAAGGGGAGTGGAATTGTGGAGTGCCTGGGTCCCAAGTGAGGCTGAGGTATGGCAGCCCAGAGGTGTGTGCGTGCCTGCTCCAAGCCCACCTGTCACCTGCCGGCTTCCCAAGAAGGCATGTCTGAATGACAAAGATTTTTCTAAAGCAAGTAGGCCGGACTGTGTCCTGCTTTTGTCCTAGCAAGTGTCAGGGACCTGCTGGTTCTGGAATACGACTATCACATAGCACCCCTCTGGCACTGCTCACGCTGCCATTGGAGACTGGCAGTTCCTAGCAAGAGCAGCATACTTCATCATGCTTCGTGATGTCAGAGCTTCTTGCAACCTTTTGGATTTAACCCTTTCTGTAACAGAACGGGGCGGGGCTTCAGCAGGGGTATGAGGCCCAGAGCCTCTGAACCCCAGTGGAAGTGGACTTCTGCCAAACCCGAAGGACTGAGAGCAGCCCTCGGTTACTGAGCCTTCATCAGGCTTGTAGCCTGGGCTTTGGGAAGGGAGGGGCTGTCACCTAGTATCTTAGAAGTTAAACTTTCGTGGAACTGTTCATTTCTTGTCTTTTGGTTGTGAGCCTATGAGCCTAGCCTTTAATGCCTGAGCCATCTCTCAGCCAAAAATTTTTATTTCTAAAAAGGCAGATTCAATGCCAGGGACCATGTAATCCTAGAAATTGGGATGGAGGGTCAGGAGGGTTGTCTTAAGTTTCAAGGCCAAGTTGGTCTACATAATGTACCAAGAACCTGTCTCAAAATATAATAAAAGGTGTGTTCCCGAGTTAGAGGTGGTCGCCTCTCCCAGTCCCTGTCTTGGGCACCCAGGTCCTCCAGTGGCAGGGCTGAGTTGGTTTGGTCTTCTCGAGGTGGGACAACTTGTCTTCTCCAGTTCATAGATTCCCTTGGTTGTTTGTGAGGATTGATAATAAAGTAACAATAATTCTCTCAAGCTTGCCTGTCTCCTCTGTTTTTAGAAACTTGTGGTTGGCTGGTCTCCCCTTTCCCCAAACCTGAAGAATCTCACTCATGTTTCAGATCCTTTCTGTCTCCAGAGTCACACATTTGGTTTCTTGTCCGTCAGTGTTCCTTTTGATACTGTAGCAGCTGGGCTGCACAGGCAAAACACACAGATGCTTATATTTCTGCCTCTGTGCTAAGGATCCCAGCTGTGTGGTGTCCACTCTCATTGGTAATGGGGAAGTCAAGTGAGTGATCCTGAGTGTCTGGGGGCCTAACCTGTGCTTAACAGTGGCACGTGGCACACTCCTGGGAGCTGAGATAGGAAGATCACAAGTTCAAGGCCAGCCTCTGCTATGCAGCAAGTTCAGGAAGTGGAGAGCAGAGGCCTACAGCTCATAAGACAGCACTTCCCTGCACTACCATCAGCTCCGATTCTTAGCCCTTTGTGTTCTGGTTGGTGCCAGACACACAGTTCCCACCCTGTCCCCAAACCTTTGCCAGGTGCAGTGGGACCCATTGTGAAGGACTCCCTTCCTGGGCACCATTAGTATAGACAAGATGCTGGGCTGGGGTCATCAGTCTTGATGTGAATTTCATGGGCTAGGACCGACAAATGACACCTTTGCAGTTGCAGTTTAAGCCTTGGTCATCAGGAGGAGCATATACCTTGAACTTAGTGAAACAAACTGTCTAGCTTGTGCCTCTAGATAACAGACTGAGTCACCCAGGAGGACCTCTGGCGAATCTGAAGATGCTGACCCCAGGCAAGAAATGTCACTAAGCTTTCAAATTCCATGCATATAACTCCAGATTACAAGTACATTATAGAAGTGGATATCCTTAAGATTCTGGAAAGGTTCTCAGGACAGTGGTGGCCTCTAGACCCTCTGGAAGGTGCACAACTCTCCTGCAGAAGATCCGATCATGGGAGGCATGGGGGCGGGGTGAGAGGGGTGGGGGGAGATGGGGTGAGCTGCTCAGCCACACAGTGCCTCTACTTCTATCCACCCTTTTCAAAGCGTGCTGGAGAAGAGGTCACACAGAAGACAAACCCACAGGGCTGGACATGGTAGTGTGTGCCTGTACTGCCAGAACCCAGGAAGTGGCAACAGGAGGATCGTGAGTTCCAAAGAAACCAAAAATAATAAAGCAAAAACTAACACCTGTGTGCTCAGACTTAGCTGGCTGCTTTTTTAAAAAGCACATTTTATGCATTTTACTGAGTATGGGTTTACATATGTGGGCAGGCACACATGCCACAGTGCTCATTCTGAGGTCAGACAACAGATATATAATGCAGCTAAGCAGTGGTGGCACACACCTTCAGTCCCAGCACTCAGGAGGCAGAGATAGGTGGATTTCTGTGAGTTCAAGGTCAGCCTGATCTACATAGTTCCAATGGCAGCCAAGGCTACACAATGAGACAAACATAAAATTGATGCTTTTGTAAGTGTTTGGGGAGATAATTAGGTGTAATTATGTCTTGGTTATTGTTTTCATTTGGAAATTAAACTTGATATAAGGACATAAAATTGTGTGTCAAGATGACAAGGAATGGACTTGTCTTTGGCTATTCTTGCTTGTCAACTTGACTACATCTGGAATTAACTAAAATGGCTATACCTGTGAGGTTTTTTACTTAAACCATTTGAAGTGGAAAGGCCCACCTTTATCTGGGCCACCCCTAGTAGTGGCAGTCGTGGGTCGGTTCTTCCTGTGAGTCCTGGAATCAGCTCAGGTCATCAGGATGGGCAGCAAGTGTTCCATTGGAAGCTCCACTTAGACCTCACCACCCCATTCCAAATCCCGCCCTTCTCAGAAAGAAAGCCTGCCAAACCGTGGCTCCTCCCCTAGGGCTGCTCCTGACCGGGCTGCAGGGATTTAAACTGCCCAGTCTCCTCCCCGTCCCATCTCGGGGCCGGAAAAGGCCACCCAGGAATGTTTTGCCAATAAACTTGATCTTTTATTTTTAATTCAGCTTGATTTGGCTTACTGCATTGACAGAGAGACTTAATATCGGGGGTACAGAAACCTTTCATCTTGGTGCATTGGCCAGGAAGAGCTGAATTTTTCCTATCAGTCCCCAGCCACGTGGGGAGAAACCACTCCTCTCCTTACACCCCCTCTCCGCCAGACTGAATCTTTGGCTTGGTAAGTTGCCCGTTCAAGTCATTGCCTCTAGAGGTCCAGGGCCTCTCCTGTTTTGGGGTACCCTACCAGGACATGGCTGTGCCAGGGGCAACCCCAACCTGACCACCTTTTTTTGCAGAAGGTGTTCTGCACAAAGGCACACCCCAGACCCACCCTAGGCCCCAAGTCTGTAGCACTGGATCCATGGCTTTACACTTGGGTTCCAGCACAGGTGTGTGAAGTGGGCAGGTGTGGGCGGCTCTGACTCCCATCCCCAAGCACCCATGTGTCTTCTACAAAATCTATTCAAATTGGGGTTATCAGCTACCATATGTCTGGAACCCCCTGTTTCCTCATGTTCTAAAGCATGGCCACAATATGCTCTTGATAACCAGTCAAGGTGGCCACCAGAGGCAACTTTTGAATTTACCATCCTCCATGATCTTGAAAATTTCTGCTAGCGTGGAGACAAGTGCTTGGAAAGGTTTTTGGGTTCTGCACTCCAGTGCTTCTGCAGCCGGTGTCCCACGGCCCAGGTCTTGTTGGCTAGGTTCAAAGCGCCTCCAGATTCCCATTTATCTGGGAACTGGGACCCTGAACATGCCACCCTGACCATGCCACCAAAGACACTGGCCTCTCCCCCACCCCCCTCAAACTGTCCCCTCCCTCGCCTACACTGCCACACGCTCCATTTGGTGGCCAACATTCTTCTCCTTATCCACCCCTTCCCTCTTCCCCCTCCTGGACAAAGATTGAGGGCCAGCTTGCTCCACTCCCCCTCTCTCCCACCGCCCCTTCTCTTTCCATATCCACCCCCCCATCCTTCAGTGCTTCATAACCTACACCCTGGTTCCCATCCACACACTGGCCTGCCCGCCCCCAGTCCTTTCCAGTGTCTTCTCCTACCTGGTCCCCTGCCCTCCTCTGCCCTCTGAGAGATGGCCTGAACCGAGAGTTGTTGGAGTCCCTTCTCCCTTCAGGACCTCTCACAGATAGAAAAGCGGTTGGGTTCCTTCTCAGCTAATCTTGCGGTTTATGTCAAGGAGTTTCATTATCTTTTCCAAGCCTATGACCTGACACGCTTGTCCTGTACCTCTACTTGGCCATGATATCCCCAGCCTCTTTGGGGCCACACTCACCTTGGCCCCCACACACTCTCCTCTTAATAGCCTCACAGGTCCCTACCCCAGACTGTCCTGTCCCTACTCTCCCGAATCCAGTAGATCCCCAAGTCTGGGTTATCTCCACCCTGGTGGTTGCTCCTCATCACCAGCTAATGCTAGTTCACCTTAGGGACCCCTCGTCCTTCCCTTCCAGACCGCAGTGTTCCTGTTTCTGAAACCCGTCGCTGAGGCCTCAAGCCCATTATTACCTGCTTTTTATCTCAGGGACTTCTCATTCCCATGGACTCACCCCGCAACACCCCATTCTTCCTGTGCGTAAGTCCTCCAGGGCTCACAGTTTAGTTCCAGACCTCTGCCTCGTTAATGAAGCGGTCATTCCAACATGCCCAGGGCTCAACGACCCCTACACCCTTACTTCTAACATTCCTCCTACAACTTTCCATCTTACCGCTGTGGACCTTTCCTTCTACACCCTGACTCAGGCTTCCTCTTTGCCTTTACCCGGGAAGACCCTGACCCCCGGTCCTCCACTCAGCTTACTGTACTCCCTCCGGGTTTCTGGGACCACCCTCATTTGTGGTGACGCTTGTAATCTAAGAAATAAAGCCAGCCTGAAGATCAGAGGACAGAGCCAGCCACAGAGTCAAGCACAGAGGTCAGGCAGTGGTGACACACACCTTTAATCCTAGCACTCGGGAAGCAGGGGTCTGTCTGGATCTCTGTGAGTTCAAGGCCACACTGGGCTACATGAGATTGATCCAGTCTAGGGGAGAAAGAGAGCCAGGCAGTGGCGGCACACACCTTTAACCCCAGTATTTGGGAAGCACACACGCCATCAATCCCAGCACTAGGAAGATTGAGATAGGAAGTGAAATGGCTGGGCAGGGAAAGGCACATGGTGTTCAGAGAGCCTTTCAGCTGAGGACTCAGGCGTCGGTCTGAGGATTCATGAGACAGGATCGGCTGAGGAGTTGGCGAAGTGAGAAGTGGCTGTGGCTTGTTTCCTCTGATCTTTCAGCATTCACCCCAATCCCTGGCTCTGGGTTTTTATTATTAGATTGTTTAGGATTCTTGCCTCACTCATTTCTTGGGGCAAGCCTTGGCCTGGGGTCTTCCCACCTTTGAGTCCAGTCCTGCCTTACTCCTCCAGTATGTAGACGACCTCCTCCTCTGCAGTCCCTCCCTGCCTCCGTTCCAGTGGGCCACCTTCGCTCCTAAACGACCTCGGCTCCCGGGATACGGTGTTCCCCATCTAAGCTCAGCTGTGCTCTCCCACTGTGGTGTATTTGAGTGTTCAACTCAGCGCGGGATCTAAGACTCTCACCTCTGACAGGGTTCAAGCCCTGTAGGATTTACAGCCCCTGACCACAGCAGACCGGATTTTCTCATTTTGGAGCCTGGTGGGATTCTAACATCTCTGGATCCCTAACTTTGCCATTACAGCCAAGCCCCTGTACCAGGAAGCCAGAGAGACGTCCAACAGGAACCCTCACCGACCTGGCCGCTAACGGCTCCCGCCCTAGCTCTTCCAGACCCCACCGGACCTTATCATTTCTGTAGATGAAAGGTTGGGACTGGCTATCAGTGTTCTAGTCCAACTAGCTGGGCCTTCAAACATCACCATGTGTGCATGGCAGCCATGCTTGAGAGCCCTGGCGGCAGTGACCAAGCTCACCTGGATGGCCCTCAAGATCACCCTGGCCCACTGTTTAGTTTGAACTGTTTAGGAGGCCCC